AAAAAAAAAAAAAAAAATCTGGGAAGCCAAAGTACCATGCAGTTTCTACATTTTCTTTCTGAGATGGACATAATTCTTTAAATTCTACCCTTAACTAACCATGTGCAGGCTTCCCGTGACAGTCTCATTTTCCCTCCTCCTCCTAATTTATGGGAGTGAGTGCGCAGGAGTGCTAGGGCTTGTCCACACACGACTGCCATGCAGATGGGGCTTGCTCCCACCCCGGGTTTGCCTCAGCCCGGGTGTTGCCAGAGGAGCAGGGGAACCAGCTGTCTGAGCTCGAGATAACAGCTAACTGTGTTGCTTCTGCTTCCCTTAACCAACACCACGAGAAGATGCTCTTGAACGTTCTCATCCATCAGAGTAAAGAGAGCCATGTCATTCTCTCTTTAAAAGTGCATGCTGTCAAGGAATATCAATGTAATCCCAAGGAAACTCTGGAAGCTCTTCTAAGTGACTTGATTAATCCCCTGCTTCTGGAACGTGCGCTGGTCCTCTCCTCCCACAGCCGCGCTGCCTCTGACGGGTCGTCTGGGCTGCTCCCCAGTGTACGTGACCACGGCAGGAGCCGGAGGGCAGCATCCTTCTCTCGGGTGCCGACTGTGGAGAGTCTCCCTCTGCGGAGGGCCCCATCCTCTCCGGCTCTACAGAAAGCACCCCAGGGACTAGGAGCCAGAAGTGGGGGGATGACCGCTCTCCAGGATGCTTCTAGTATTGGGCCTTCATTGCATGGAGATTTAACTACCTGCCATGGGGGACGATAGAAAGCTTTAAATTTGTCAACTTGTGTTGTTTGTTTGTAATAGTATATACTGTGGGGTATTTGAGGTTGATTTTCTGGGTAAGCTAAGGAAGTGTCCTTTAGGCTGGAGTGGGACTGGCTCAGGCCCTGAGTGTGGGAGTCGATGGAGGTGGGCTCTCACTTATTCCTGTGGGGTTTTAGGCCAGTGACCCAAACTCTTGACTCTGATTCATCATCTGGGCGTGAGAGATAACGCCGTGCATGTCATAAGGTTACATCACTGCTAAATAATATGTCTTCATGAACAGACACCGTGTAAGCAGTGGGCATCCATTCAGCAAGCACATGGTGGCAGGCTCTGTTTAGGAGCTGGACACAGCAGGACGGAGAAGGCAGCATGTCACCCCGTCAGCTGGGGCTGAAGTTTACGTTGTCACCCTGGACAGTGCTTCTCAGCCTCGGCTTGCTGACATTTGGGGCTGGACACGTCTCCTGGTGGGTCTGGATCCTCGTGTGTTGTTTGCTGTGGGTAATGGTGGGCTCTGTCCTGGGTGAACAAAAGTTTTTGACTTTGGAACTGGAGACTTTGCATTTCCCAGCAGAGAGTTTCATGTAGCCGAGTTCCCCATGCTTGGAGCGTTCAGTCTTAGGGTGGGAAGTGTACGGGAAGCCATCCGAGCCTCAAGGGGGAGGCTGCAGGAAGTGTTTGTAAATTATTTGCCTTCCTGAAGGTATTTTCTTAAAGGCTGATTTAAAAAGAATTATTTGGGAGGCACTGTTGTAATCTCCGCTCTGCTCTTCCCTGGCTGCGCCTCCCAGCCTTCTGCTTGGGACTGAAGGGGGCAGGTTGGGTGGCGGTGCTGTTGGGGATGCATGGCTGCAACCTCTCCAGGGAGGCACATCACCAGAGGCCCAATTTCAATTCTGTCATGTGGGTGAGAAATGGGGACCTCGCCCCGAGGCAAAATGGTGTCTGTGTTTTTGAAGATGAAGGCATTAAGACAGGAGCATTTCCATGATTTATTAATCTGTTTATCCTGTCAGGGAGGAAACCTGTCAAATGTGGATGAGTGGGATGTGACTGGGGTGAACGCGGGCCCCCCTCTTTGGTCTTGAGAGGCCCTCTCTTGCAGGTAATTTGATGGGCTTGACTCAAACTTTTAATCATGCAATTTCAGTTGATGCATAGGATTTTCCTCTCAAAGCTTGCTGCACGGTGCTAATTAAACGTCCTTAGTCTGAAGGGCTTGTTTGCGGTTCTTGCTCAGCTGAGTGCTGGTGGGGTGTGTGGCGGGCACCGTGCCTAGGTATGGGTGAACCGGGCTGGCCCGGCTTTGTCCTCCTGGGGACAGTCCCCGCAAGGCGACCAGGGGATTAAAGCTCGTTAAAAACCAAAAATCAACTGAGTAAATTTGAAGATCTAATTGGCTTTATCCACGACTCATGAATTGGGCAGAATCCCATCTAGCAAATAGAAAGGAGCTCCGGGGAGCTGGACAGAGTGAAGGGCTTTTATAGACAGAGGGGTGGGAAGAAGTTTCTAGCAAAGAGAAACTTTTCAGGCAAGGTGACCTTCCTGGGGGTGGGAGGCGGGAGGGGTCATCCAAGGAGATTGCCTCACTGGCGCTGACCAGGGAATTCCGGATCCGCACGCTAAAGGCTGCGTGCCTGGGACAGGTGGAAAGGGCAGTTGGGTCAGGCGTCCTTGGTTTGCTGACTGGGGCTTAGCACAGGTGGGGCCTGCTGGGTTGTTTTCTAACCAGCCGCAGAGCTGCCTGGGGCTCTCACCCCTGGGAGGCTTTTACTTCCTTCCACATGCTTCTGGTCAGTCCTGAGCAGGGTTTGTGTTTTATGCCTGCCTAATCTAGCCTTTACCTTTTAACTCTGAAATTGAGGGTGGGATCGTGTTTTCAGGTTCCTTAGAAATTCTTCGGCACGGTGCTGTCCCCACACTGAAGGGTCCATAAATTACGTTTGGAAAAGAGCACGTGCCCTTCACGGTAACACCCATCAGACCGCGGGTCGTGGTCAGGATGCTGCACTTCCAGCCGCCGACCCTCCTGGTTGAAGATGGAGTCTTTGCAGACAACAATGGGGCTCTGCTCTTGTTGATTTGGTCTCAGAACAGTTGTTTTCGGGGGTAAACGGGAGGGAGAGGGGGCAGCCATAGATCTGAACTCGGGACATGCCGAAGCAGCTGGTCCCACGGCCTCCAGGCAGAGCAATTTCAAGGTGACCTCTAAGTGGGCGATGACTGTGGCTTTGCATCAGGGTTTAAAATATTTGTTTCACTGCCAAAAGGGAAAGTGGGCACTGTTCCTAAAACGGATGTGCACAGGTATAAATATAAGAGGTGAGACAGGGACAGACCCAACTCCACAGCGGGGCTTTCGGAAACAGTTCTTGAGTCTTGGAAACAGAAACATAATTCTCTTTTGGTCCAACCACCTGTCAGCGGTAAGTGGTCATTATTTCATCATTTTGCAATAAAAGATAATAGAATAACGATTTATATCTCATGGCTGATGTTTTAATGTGTCTCTCTGTTATCCTGGGCTGACAGTCTGTGATTACAGTAAACGTTTTCCTGGTGACACCATGGTAATGACTCGTTAATGGGGGATTAGTCCATGTTTAAATCACATCCTCGCAGTGGCCCAGCCTGGCCCTGCCTTACCGGTCCCTGACTTGGTGGGGGCGGGGGGTGGTCTTTGTGCTCAACGAGTGGCCCAGCACCCTTGCTTGTCCCCTAGACGCAGTTCCGGGGACTCCTCTGCATCCAGAGCCACAGCTCAGTGCCTCCATCTAGGTTTGTTCTGCAAAACCCCGCTGTCCCCATCTTCTGTGCCTACGACGTTTATTAGTTTTATTTTATTTTTTCTTTTATTTGAGAGAGAGAGAATGAGAGAGAGAGAGCACATGAGAGAGGGGAGGGTCAGAGGGAGAAGCAGACTCCCCGATGAGCAGGGAGCCCGATGCGGGACTTGATCCCGGGACTCCAGGACCATGACCTGTGCGGAAGGCAGTTCCTTAACCAACTGAGCCACTCAGGCAAAAGCAGCTGGTCTGGGCTTCATGAGGTAGAAGAGCAGAGGCGCTTTCTTTCCCTCTGGGAGCACACATCAGAGTGAGGCTGGCTGGACGCAGGTGGATCTGACCCATTCCACCGCCCCCTGGTGATGGGCAGGGATGGGGCCCAGCTGGGGCTCCATTTGCATTTGAGGAGTGGGAACATACACGTGGGAAACCTTTTAAGAGCGACTTGAATACCATCTGCTTGGCTTCCATCCAAAAAATAAAAAAATCTTGTTAGAAAATGATGTCAAGGCGACTTTTTGTCATAAAAAGATGTTAGTTGGGCTCTGAACTGGGGATAATTACAAAGCATTTCCAGAAATCTAAGGCTCCTGCTTAGTTTAAAGAGCATTAGTTTAGGTAACTTCGTAATGGTTACCCATCGCACAGGGATTACAGTCAGTGTTGGCGAGTTGTGTTGAAATTTTATGCAGCGAGTGCTCCGTGAAGTGGCTCAGCAGGTGTGTGTGTGTGTGTGTGTGTGTGTGTGTGTGTGTGTGTTTGCAGTGACCGGGTCCTCGCCGGGCCATGGGGGGGCACACAGACGACCTGCTGTCTGTCGGCTTTTTCTGGGGGTGGGAAGCTCCTGGAGCAGAAGCCAGCAGTCTGATGTCCTGGGTGTTGGGCGCTCCAGAGTGTTCCTTGACTCCGAGGGAGCTACTGTACTGTGGCTGCTCTCTCCGGCGCCCTGGAAGGGACTCGGGGTTCCCCGCGGCCACACGCTTGTGGCATTTACACGACGGCAGAGCGAACGCACCTGCGCCTTTTCTGTAGTCTCTCGGCAGCGGGCGGATGGTCAGTCACCAAAGTTGTGGCTTCTGTCTTGCAGCCCGTGTACTTTCACACATCCTTAAACCACCCTAACGTGGTGGCTGTGGTCGAGGTGGTCACCGAAGGCCGGAAGCGGGACGGCTCCCTCCAGGCTCTGTCATGTGGGTTTGGAATTCTTCGGATCTTTGGCAACAAGCTGGAATCTCCTACCTCTGCCTCCCAGGACAAGCGGTATCTGCCTCGTTTTCTTCATCCTTGGGGGTTTCCAGCATCGTTTTGTGGAGAATTAACTGCTTATCACTGGCCATGCTAGAAAGCTTTATGATGGTCAACTTGTGGTCTGTTCCTAACAGTGTGTCCTGTGGGATTAACTGTTTGCCATTTCTGAGTAAGCCAAGGAAGTGTCCTCTAGGCTGGAGTGGGACTGGCTCAGGCCCTGGGTGTGGGAGTCGATGGAGGTGGGCTCTCACTTATTCCCGTGGGGTTTTAGACCAGTGACCCAAACTCTTGACTCTGATTCATCATCTGGGCGTGAGAGATAACGCCATGCATGTCCTAAGTGATGTAGGGAAGGCGTTAGGGTTCAAAGCCAACGGCCAAGAAAGAATTCTTGAGACGTCTTTGGTACAAAAAGCCTGGGGACAGGACCCGTGGGCAGGAAGAGCTGCACCGGCGTTGTGAGTGGTGGCCCATTATATACTCTCAAGTTGGGAGGGGTTCAGGGAGAGCGTAAGTCTCCAAGGAATTTGGAAGCAAGGTTTCCAGGGCCTTGAGCTATTGTTGGGAAAAGGTCATTCATTACCGTCTAATAAAACCTGAATCATGAGACCCTTCAGATGTATATCGGTGGGGCATATGCTTGGGGGATGATTGCCAACATGTATCTTGAGGGGGATAGAGATAAAGGAGGTTTCCAAAGGAATTTTTCTATGTTAAAGTAGACTTAGAGGGTCCTGGGGGTCAGGCTAAGACTGCCTTTTGCCTTTAGCAAAGTATTAACACCGAGGCAGCTGCGTCCCTAGAGGAAGGTCACTGTGCCTGTTTCAAGGACTTGTCACTGGGCTGTAGGTAGTAATCATTTTTCTTCTGCCTTTGTTTCCCACATCAGTAAGGTTCCGTGGGTGCTAAATAGTATGTTCTTCACGAACAGTGTCACCCCGTCAGCTGGGGGCTGAAGTTTCCATTGTCACTCTGGGCGGGGCTAGAGCATCCCAGGCCTTACCCAGCAGATGCCAGAAGCACTCCCCCTCCCTTCCCAGCTGTGACGATCAGAAATATTTCCGGACGGTGTCCTCTGTGAGGCACTGTCGTCCGTGGGTGAGAAGCACTGCTCTAGATACACAGCCTTGAGGATTCCTCAGATGTTGTCTTTCGTGGGACGCGTCAGAGGTGATAAATTTCCTTGGTGTAGTGTTTCTAGCCCCTGGGTCTTGGGTGCATTGAGGCGATGCTGTCTGTGCCCTGGAGGTGTGTGGCCAGGAGCTCTGGGGGCATGGGGGCGGCTGCTCGGCTCGGCCGTCTCTTTTCTGCAGAGGATGCGATTGTATGGCGTTGAGAAGGCTCTAGCAGGTGTGGGGTGAGAAGTGTGGCTGACGTTTCGGGACTGAAGGCATGATGCAGAGGGCTGACGTGCGCTCTGTGGGCTTGTTTTGCAGGTTGAGGCTGTATCACGGCACCCCCCGAGCCCTCCTGCACCCGCGGCTCCAGGACCCCGTCGAACGTAAGAGATGCGGCCCTCCCGGCCGGGCCTGCGGCGTTGTCGTGGAAGTCCTCCCGTCCTTCCTCCTGTCCTCCCTATAACTTTCCCGAGGGTTACCCGCTTTGAGTCCATCTTGTGCTCTTTCTCAGCCTAAACCAGTGTCAGCTTAGCTGATTTATTAAGCGGATTAGGGCAAAGTGTATCATGGGCTTGGATTTTTGATACAGCTGCAGGAGCCGTGTTGCGCTGGCCTGAGGGGAGGGTGTTGCTTCGCGCAGATGGCCCCGGGAGGCAGCCCCGAGCCGCTGGGAGGGAGGGCTGCGGGCCTCCCAGGCTCCGGGGCGGCGGCCGTGCGCACCAGATGAAGTAGCTGCTGTTTGTCAGCGGACACGCCGGCACCAGAAAACTTTCACTTCGAGGTGCAAGGGTTCTGTCCGGCTCGGCAAGGCCGTCCACATGTACCCGACTGCAGAGGACCGTCCTGCAGGGGCGCCCGCCATCCTCCTTGAGGCCCAGCAGCCGGGGGGCCTGCCTGACGCAGAGCAGGGCTTCCTGCCGCACCTCCGTGATCCGGAGGGCTGTGTGGCCCACTCTGGCTGCCGGCCGTGTGGAGGATGGACGGGGACGCCCAGTGGAAGCCATCTTGGAGGCCTGGGGTGGAGGCCCGTGCTGGCCCAGGGCAGGGGGTGTGGAGGGGGTCCAGTGGTTGGAGCTGGATCTGTTTGGGAGGGTGACTTTCTGTGTCTTTGAGTTGTTGGCTGGATTCTGTGATGGGAATTTTGAGTATGCCCCATGGCCTGAGTTAAAAATCAAGCCAACCCCATCCCTTCCACTGCCTGCTGAATTTGGTGAAAATTTCACAGTAGAGGAGGGATTAGTCTGAAGCTTAATTTTACTGATAAAGATTGGCTCTTAGGTTATTTCTCAGTTGAGTCTAATCATTACTTTGCCAGCATTTTGTGTCCTGGGGCATCCTTAGGATCAGGACTTTTTTTTTTTTTTTAAAGATTTTATTTATTTATTTGACAGAGAGAGACACAGCGAGAGAGGGAACACAAGCAGGGGGAGTGGGAGAGGGAGAAGCAGGCTTCCCGCGGAGCAGGGAGCCCGACGCGGGCCTCGATCCCAGGACCCTGGGATCATGACCTGAGCCGAAGGCAGTCGCTCAACCGGCTGAGCCACCCAGGCGCCCCTTTTTTTTAATTTCTTATTTTATATTAAGTAGGCTTCGCGCCCAACGTGGGGCTTGAGCTCATGACCTTGAGATCGAGAGTCACATGCTCCGTGAACTGAGCCAGCCAAGTGCCCCTGGATCAGGCCTCTGGAAGGATGTGCACAAGCAGCATGTTGTCCTGGGGCGGTGTGTGAAGGCTGTGTGGTGTGGGAGTGCCTGAGGAGGGGCCGCGTGGCTGCTAGGTGCTGTTCCCTCCACCCTCTGGAGCTCTGTGTCTGGGCCCTTCTCAGCTGCTGCTTTCTCCAGGATGCTCTCCCTCATCCACTTCCCCTAGCTCACTGTCTGCTGTCTGCACCTCTCCTGGGGTTTGATCCCGTTCTCCCTGGTGCTGGGTATCGGTGTGTTTGTGTCTTGGTTGCCCCAGCGGAGCGTGTGTCCTTGAGGGCAGGGCTCTGTCTCAGAGGATGCTGCCCCCAGGGCCTGGTCCTGCTGCCCAGTGGGAGAGGGAGGCTGGCTGGGGCCCAGGTGCCTTCTAGCCCCCCTCTGATAATGGGGACCAGGCAGTGCCTGGACTTCACCACTCAGGGGTTGCGGGGGGAGGTGAGCAGGAGAGTTTTGTTAAGTTGCGTTAAAAACAAGTATCTCTGTCACTGCAGTTTTAGCAGAGTTACTAAGGGTTGATTCTTTTTTGCTTTTTGGGCTGAACTAGCAGAGCAATTCCCCTTTCTCCGTGGAAAAATACATTTCCTGTTTGTGGTGTTTCTTTCTTAGATGCTCAGTTTATTGTCTGGCTTGACCGAGAGGGCCGTTGGTCCCAGCTGTACATAGGTGTTTTCTCCCCCAGAAAACAGACACATGACCCTGCTTGAGAGCTGTAGCCTGCAGTACGCCCTCCGGCCCCACCCGCTCCTGGAGCCTGTGTTCCACCTTCTTCCCGAGAACCTTCTGGTGTCTGGTCTGCAGCACATACCCGGCCTCCTTCCAGCTCACGGAGAGAAGGGTAAGGGCCGCTCTGTCTCTCTCCGTTTGGTGAGTCTGTGTTAGCTGATGGTCAGACCTCGCAGGAATCAGGCTCTGTGGTGGGGGGTGGGCTGGGCATGGCTAGCACCCTCAGCAAACAGCCTGGTAGGGGTGGTGGTGGAAGGGGAGGAGGGGGAGGAGGGGAGGGGGAGGGAGAGGAGCAGGGCAACGCCGTCTCTCTTTGTAGTCCCTTCTGAGCAGCATCTCGCATCCCTCAAGTTATTTCTGTTTTCTTCTCTTGGGAAATGCTTTTGTAAGACAAACAGTTCATGTCTTTATGACCAAGGTCAGGAAAACCACTGTTGCTAGTTCTCAGCCTTACTGGACCATATCAGGGGCTTGATTATTATTATATTTAAATTGTGGTAAAATAGACATAACATAAATTTACTACTTTAACCATTTGTAAGTATGCAGTTCAGTGGCAGTAAGTACTTTCACCTCTTGTACAACCATCACCACCATCTGCCTCCAGAACTTTCTCATGTCCGCAAACTGAAATTCTGTCCCCGCTAAATAATAGCCCCCGCATCTCCTCCCCCAGCCCCTGGCCACCACCGTCCTGCTTCCTGTCTCTATGAATGTGACTCCTCCGGGCCCCTCCTCAGTATTCGCCCTTCTGTGACTGGCTTATTGCACTTGGCATCATGTCCTCAAGGTCCATCCTGGACCATATCTTGTTTATTCTTTTACCTTTCCATGGACACTTGGGTGGTTCTGCCTTTTGGCTGTTGTGCATAATGCTGCTGTGAACGTGGGTGTGCGGTGGCTTGATTATGTTTGAAAACTGAAATCCACATTCAAGCCTCATGACTCTGTCCTGGTGTGTTTTAGAACTAGGTTCTCCAGCGGTGGGTTAGGGACAATGCCTTCACCACCAGGAGATCACCGCAGAGGTGTGCTCTGCTCTCAGGCCTGCTGACAGGTCTTGACCTGGGCCTCATGCTCCTTCTGGGCCCTTTCGGAGGCTTTTTGTCTGACCTTCTGAGGAATCCAGGAGAAGGGGCCACACCAGTCCTTTCCCACTGGCTTTGCTGGACCCTCTCATCTGGGGTGGGCTCCCTCCCTGTTCTGTTCTGGGGAGAGCGGGATTGGGCGTGGGTGTGACTTAGAACAGAAACACTCAAGACCCCAAAGAAAAGAGGTAGCTCAGCTCCAGTATGGGAATGTTTTCAGTAACAGTGTCCTTGCACATGACTTGGTGTTCTGGTCCATGCTGGGATGCAGACATTGTTACCTGAGTTCGGGAATTTCTGGGATGGGCCTGTGGTGGTTGTCACCATCACAAGGTCACTGTTTCATCAGTGTAGAGATGATGATATATGAGAAAGGATAAATTAACGAAGAACAGGACAAGTCCGAGGAGGGGTCCCAGCTTTGGATCTGCCATGGCTTACCAAGCTCCAGTCCCCTGCCACCCACAGCCCCACATGGGAAGTCTTCTCCCCCTCGGTCATTTGCCTGTGTCCTCTTGTGAGGGAAGGAGGGGTCAGACAGGGAGACAGAATGCTGCATGGTCATTGCCATTGACATTGAAAACAACATGACAACCTTGCATCTGGTGCTGAGACCTCGGCCCCCTAAGTACTGCTGTGCTACGAGCTGATGTCCAGATCCTAGGTGCGCACCTGCTTTCGAGTCAGCTTACGGAAGTCTTTCTGACCTGGGGTTCTGGGTGGGCAGACGGTGGTTGGGGCCTGAGGTTTGTCCATTACTCTGACTTGCCAGTGGGGTCAGTAGAGCTGCAGATCAAACCTGGAAGTACTGTATCTCATCTGTGGGCTGCTTCCAGGTCACTGCTGGAGCCAAAAGCGCAGCTCCGAGGGCCCCGAGTTTGCTCTTGTATTTTATGTCGGTCTGGGGAATCAAAGGGGCCAGTTACAGACCAGGGTATGATTCCAGCGCCTCACCCTTAAAGGTCACGTCTTCAGGAGCAGTCTGAACCTTGGTGGCTTCCTGTCACCAACGCCCCCCCCCCCGCCCAGTGGAGCAGCCTGTTGGTCGCTGGACACTTGCTGGATGCAGGCAGTGTCTGAGTAATTGCAACCCTGATGACAGTTTATGTTGTTGTTTAAAAGCTAATGACCAGGGACCCTGGGACTGGAGCCGTGAGGTGCTCAGGCGGGCGAGCGCTGACTTCAGCGGGCGGGAGCACACTCCCTCTTCTCGGGAAGAGAGACTGAAACACAGCTTCTCACCAAGTCCCCTGGTGACCATCTGAGAAAAGAAACCCGTTTTGCTCTGCCTTCCCCTGACTTGCAGCTCACCGGGCTGATCTATAGTTCGCACTGAGCCTGCTGTCTGTGTTATAAATCCTGCCCAGGGTCTTTTAGGCTTTTGTGACTCACTCTTGGAAAAGGGTTTCTTTGCTGAATAATATTTTATAGCCCTGCAAGGGCCAAGGCAGGGACTGGTACTGGCTTCAGCAGTGGAATTCACTTGCAATTGGCAGAGGGTCTGATTTTATTCTGGTGCCGTATGGGGATATGGATATTTGTTCCTTTGTAAAATGCCACCATACAGGAGATTGAGTTGTTTTTAACTGGAATTTTTATCGAGGTCACTCTAGATTCACATGTGGTTTTAATAAATAATGCCGAGAGAGTCTGTGTGTCCTTTGCCCAGTTTCCCCCAAATTGTAATGCAAGGTCACGGCCAGGATACGGACATCGACATAGTCACCAGGCTCCCCCCCACCCCCCACTTTGACTCATCTGTGTGAGGACTGACTTTTGAAGAGTAATTTTCAACCCGGGAGTGACTGGAAATGACAGGTCCTAGCTGTGACCGCTCTTGGCGGCTCTCTGTCACTCCCCGGAAGGAAGGCAGGCCTTTGTCCTCGAGCGGCTCTTAGAGGGAAGCTCTCTGAATCGGTCCAGATTAGCAGGTCCATCATCTCTTCTGCAGCCAGGAAAACCATGCAGCCTCCCTCATGTGGTCTTCTCTTCCTCGCTTGGTTCTGACCTTTTTACTTGCTTCAGTTTGACAGGCCTGGGCAGCCGCGTCAGCGCCAGGGTAATTGCTCACATGTTCCTGAAAGCTGCTTCTTGCAAGGAGAGCCCCGTGCCCTGCTTAGGGCGAGTCTCCATGCTGGGGCTCCTTGGCCCGCTCTCGTGGCCGCGGATCTGCATGCCAGTCACGTGCCCGGTGGCGTGCTGCTGCCTCGGTCATTGTGGGGGTGGTCTGGCGGGATCGGGACCAGGAATTCTCTCGTTTGGGAGAAGGCTCAGATCGCTCACAGAGCTTTGCATAAAGTAGCTGAGTGCATTGAAAGCTTAGTCATGAATATCAGTGGGAAGCCTGTTTTCTAGAACTGGACCTGAAGGCCAGGGGCCGGTGCCAGGACTGAATGGAGTGCCGGGGGAGGCTTCCTGGCCAGGTGCTCAGGGGGGTGTAGGGGTCCTGGGCCCACTTTCTCGCAGGGCTGCTAGTGCTGGAGGAAAGCGGAGGGCCTCACGTTCCCCCAAGCCTGCCGACACCATACAGGTGTCTGAAGCGGCCGGAATGCTTGGCCACAGCCCCCCGCCAGGGGCTTGGTGGGAGTGAGCCGTGGACTGGCAGCGTCTGGGAGTGGGCAGGGCCTCTGGGGAGACCTGAATGGAGGCTCTGTCTTCTGTGCTCGTGTCCACAGGCCACCATCCATGGTTTGGATGGCTGTGGTGCTTCAGGGGGAGTCCTGGGAACCGTGGCTGGCAGCAGCGTGTGCCCGGCAGAGAGGCAGAGAAAGGCCGCTGTCCTTGCCATGTGCTCGTCCTCCATGACCATCCTCCTCACACGGAGCCTTCAACGCATTTCTTCCCTGACCTGCAGACTCGCTTCACTCTGACCTCTTCTTCATGGCTTTGAACACCCACCTCAGTGACGTGCATCTCCCACCCTTCCTTCCTTGCTGCCTCCCCCTGTGGTTCCTTCATTTGGTTTAACCGAATGGCCGCTCCATCCTGCAGGCCCGCTCATGTGGACGTGCCCCTAAAGTGGCCTTTGCCGTTGGCCCTCCCGTCCTGGGCGGGGCGCTGGTCCAGGCCCTGCGTCCTCATCTGTTAAACCAGAGCTCGGCAGAGCTCTCTGGAGAAGTGTTTTGTCGGAACTGTGTCCACCGGTCTGCCCCATGGTGGCCTGTTCTGGTTGGTGTCCCACGTGGTCCTCCTGAGTCCCTGCTCGGGAGTCCCCTGAGGTGCTCCTTGGAAATGCTGCTTCCCCCATGCCGACCTGCTATTGGAGGTCAGACGGCATCTAAGCACCTCAGCGGCTGTGGGGCGCATCTCCCAGGCTCCCGGGGCCACTCGGGTCCTCGCCGGGATTCACCTTCTGGATTGGCCCATGTGGGTGCCGCGGTTGCGGGTAGGCAGGGGTGGTGGTGGGGTGGCAGGAGCAGAGCTGGTGCCCGCCCTGTGTGAGCTCCGGCTGTTACCTGACAAAGGTAATTTTCACGGAAAGTCCTCCCTTCCAGTCTCACTCCCCAGGGAACCGCCCCAGAACAAACCACTGCTCCGGGTTTGGCGTATGCCTTGTATCTCTAAATGGGTTCACGGATGCTTGGGTTTGTCCGTGATTCATCTGTGGATCCGCGTGCGCGGGCCCTGAGCTGGGGAGAGGGCACAGTGCCGGGCTCTTAGTGGAGCACTCATATCTTGGATGGACTGAAGCAAGAGCGGATGTGTCCTCCCACACAGCCATCAAAGGCAACAGGTGTTTTAGAAACGCAGATGGCTCAGACTCCTTTCCGCTCTTGCCTGGGGTGCCCTCATCTCATTCTGTTGTCCCTCTTGCAATGCTGTTTGTCGGGTGAGGTGCGTTCTGATGAATCAAATGCCCTTCCAGGAGAGCTGCATCCCGGGGAGGCTGTGGGACCCTGTTAGGACCTCATGGGGAGGGGGGCTTGTTGGGCCTCTGGGGGTGTTTCTGAGCGCTTCCCTAGAGGATGTCACTCAGGGAGTTCTTGTCTGTTCTGTGCCTGTAACCCCTGTTTTCTCAGCAGTGCATGTGTGGGGGTCCCCAAGGGAAGGGGGTCCACTTTCCTGTAGGAGCAGTGCTGTTTTTGGGATTGCGTTCCCATCCATAGGCTTGGCAACAAGCATGGGAAAGCTAGCCCCAGTCGCAGAGCACAAGGGCCAGGAGTCCTCCCTGGTGGTCAGCTCTGCTGAGGTTTCGTCAGCCCTGGCCGCTGAGGTTGGGTGGTGGAGTGAACGGGGTGACGCTTCAGATGGTGAAGCTGCTCTGAGGGGGATGCGGGAGTGGGCAGGGGAGAGGCTCTGCATAAAATGGGGACATTCTTGGGACCTGCCCCTGGAGATGCATTTGGGGAGCAAAGGAATGGGCTGGTGAAGCTCAGTGCTGAGAACTTAGGAAGCGCCAAGCCCCAGGACCTGTTGTTCTTTCTTCATGGGATACTGTCCTCTGCCGTGGCCACCCTGTGGCCACCTTTCTGCTTGGGAGGCCCTTCTCCAGAGCCTGCACCTTTCACAAAACATGGCCTGGAGAAAGCCGGCCGGATGCCACCTAGTCCTGCCCTGCCTCCTGGACCACTCAGGATCCGGATGGTTCTACCCAGTGCAGATGTGGCTCCTCAGTATCGTCTCCTGGTGGAAGAACCATCTTTCCTCTCCCTGTCTGACTTGTGTGTGTGGGACTCGCTTCTCACCTGTCTGTGAGACCAGGGTCATGACTCTTTGTTACTGCTAATGGCTCTGGGCCCGGGGGCCACCTTGTCATGGGGGCGCTGTGCAGAGCCTGCTTCCTGCCCGGACTGGGCCTCTTCCAGAAGCACTGGGCTCTGCCACCTTCCGGACACCCGGATCTTGCTCCCATTCCTGCAGTGTTGCCCCTTGAGCCGTGGAACCAGACGGACTCATCCCCAAGGGAAGTCAGTCTGGGAAATGGCCTTTGCCCACCACTATTTTAGTTTCTGTATGTGGCTGGTGAGGGTGGGTAGGTTCCCTGCGGGATGGGCTGTGGTCCCAGCACATGTACAAGTCTGTCTGTCCCTGCCACCACCCCCATCTCTGTGAGGGTTGGCATCAGCCGGCGCCCCAGGTCCTGCCTGAGTCCACTGCTCCCAGCACGTCCCGTCCTTGCTACTCATGGAGTCTGTATCCGCGAATCCACTCACTCCCTGAAGTTCTCACAGTGCTTTTCCTGGTCGTTCATGGACGTGTGCTTAGCAGCTTAAACATGTGAGTCTCCCTCACGCTCGTTCCTGTGAGTGGGGCGGCCTGGGGCACGTCACTTAGCACGTCCGAGCCCCGATTCTCTTGTAAAATAAAGAGAATAGAATGTACAGGACAATCCTAAATCCATGCTGAGGATTTAGGATTAATCTGGTGAGATGTGTGTGTGTATGTGACTCTGTGTTCATGGTCGCTCTACGGAGCACACTGTGGACGGTATTATCTCTGTCCCCGCAGCACCGTCCCGGCTCCCACAGCCGAGGAGACCGAGGTTTAGAAACTGGGGTTGGCCCCCAGGCCCTGGCCCCAGAGTGCACGTGACCACCGCGGTGTCCTCCCTTGTTTCAGGACACGCGGTTCCTTCCGCCTGCCGGGCAAGAGTACTCAGCCCTCCCCAGCAGGCGGTCGTGTCCGCCAGGCCTGTCCTCTTCCTGCTGATGACAGTCCCCGCTCCTTCCTTCTCTGCGCCCAGAGGGTCATGGCTGCCCTGACTCTTCTTCTCTGGAATCCCCCATGAGTGATCCCGAACTGCCGGGCGGCCCGTGGGCCCATTGGTGGGGAGGCCCTGGTGCCAGGGCCAGTGGTCCTGCAGCTGCGGCTCCCGGCGGGGGACGCGCCCGGCTTTAGCTCCTCCCTCTCTTACCTCTTCTGTCCTCTTTCTCTGATGGAAGGTCGTAATTCAGGACAGGCCTCAGACCCTTGCTGGACCATTTCATGGAAGGTTGGACTTGTACGTTTCTGTTCTTTAAAGAAACATTGTGGCAACAGAGATGTAGTGTGACACCGTTTTAACCACTTAAACCGTGCAGTTGGGGGCAGGAAGGGCATTCACACTGCTGTGCAGCTGCCGCCACTGTCCACCTCCAGAACTTCTCATCTTGCAGAACTGCAGCTCTGCCCCGGGAAACGCTCGCTCCCTGTCCCTGTCCCCCACCCCTTGTGCCCACCCTTCCACTTTCTGCCTCTGATTTTACCGCTTTAAGTACTTCTTGTGAGTGGAACTGTCCAGTATTTGCCTTTTTTGTGACTGTCTCATGTCACTGAGCACAATGTCCCCAAGGTCCATCCAGGGGTCAGAATTTCCTTCCTTTTTAAGGCTAACATTCTATGTATGGATCGACCACATTTTTCTTACCCCTTCGTCTCTTAATGGGGTTGTTTTTAACTTCTGGCCGTGGTAACTATACCTGCATTTTGCATGGGCTCTGATTCATCCATGGAGCAGCTTAAACACCTCTTTTTAAATTCAGAAAGGAATGTGCAAAATTTCTTAGAAGCATATGCATATTTGTGAACTATGCAGAATCTAACGCATATTTGTGATGGGGAAGGTGTGGAAAACCATAAAGAAGGAAATAAAGTCATCTGTGATTATTTCCCGTACATATCCTTACATACATGTAAATGCATAGGTTTTCAAATAAAATTGGCATTAAATGATCTAACACACAGTCTTATGTGTATTGTTTTCATCTACAATATTATTATTTTTCAGTCATTGAATAATCTCTGACAATATGGGTTTTGTTCTCATTTTATAAGGAGGCACAGTAATTGGCTCAACATTCCCCTACTGGTGAGCATTTGGTTGTTTCTTATTTTTTCTATTATAAATAATGTTTAATGAGTATTCTTGCACATAATGCTTTGCCTCCACGTTTGATTAATTTTGCCGAATAGCTTCAAAAAGTGGAATTAGTGGGGCAGAAGGTGGCAGAGGGTGTTTTTAGGGGTCTTAGTGCACGCAGAGGTGAAGCCGGGTCTGGCTGCAGGCTTACCTCCCTGCAGGATGACCAAGGGCTCTCACTGCCGCTCCCTCTGCGCTGAGTCTCACGCCAATTCTTTCCTTTCTCTGACTTCGGAATCTGCTCTTAAGGTCTAAGATTTTGCACCTTAATTCTTATGTGTAAAGCTTGGGAAGAGACAGAGGGCAGCAGAGCAGTGATGGGGACGGGAGGGCAGAGCCTGCAGGTTGTGTGCTCGTGGGGAGGCGGTCGGCTTGGCCTTTGTCCTGCCTTGGTGCCCGAGCCCGGTGGGGAGGGCTCTGCGCAGACCTGACAGCGCCCCTCACAGCCGAGGGTTGATGCACCCGCTCTGCACTGGGCACTGAGCTGCGTGCCAGGAGCCAGCGACCCCTTCTGTCCTCACGGAGCTCCCAGTCGGGGCTGCTCCCCCCCTCCCCACAGGACAGGGACTTTTCTCTTGTGGTGTCAGCCCAGACGGTGTTTTTGCTTGTTGGCTTAATGTGCTCATGAGTATTTCTGCATGTTTCCAAATGGTTCAAGGTAAACGTACAAAAATAAGAAATGGCATCATTGGCTGTGTTCTTGCTAGAGAGGAAGTCAGTGATAAAGGGAAACCAAACTGATAGGAACAGATGTTACCCTGCATTCTGTAATCTGTGTTCTTTGGATTGCTGAATTATAAAATGTGTTCCCGGAGGAGGGTTGGGGGAGGAATCAGGCTGTAAATGAAACCTGGGCTTGTTTAATCAGCTTGGCGTCTCGGTGTGAACGGAGGTGGGTTCTGATTCAGTGTTCGGTCTGAGTGCTGTGCCTGTGGTCTCTTCTCTCCCCGGAGGGCCTAGAGCCACGGCCTGGACCTCGGTGGGTGAGAGCCCCTGGGTGCTTCTGGTGGTCCTGTCCCCACGGATACGCTCCATGAGCCCCCTCGTTGTTTCAGGGGATGCCCTCCGAAAGCCTCGCCTTCAGAAGTCTGTCACGTGGTACTTGGACGATTTATTCTTCACGCTGTATCCTTCCCTTGAGAAGTTTGAGGAGGAGCTTCTGGAACTCCTTATCAGCGATCACTTCCGGGAGGTACTGTCTTACGTCGCAGAACTTACTCTGAATGTGGAGATGCAGGCGGGGCCGGGCAGAGGTGGGGAAGCTGCCGGCCGCTGATGCTGCCAGGGTAGACCGCCCAGCCCCTGGTGACGCAGTCCTGCCTGCTTCCTCTTTTAGTGGCTTGCGAGGGACACCCAGCCCTTTGTCTTAACTTTGGTGTGATGCGGGTTTTGTTCCCTCGATACCCTAACATTAGTTTTGTTATATCTTAGAACAGTCTTCATTTAAAAGTAAATTAAATCACCAAATGAGCATAGGGAAACCAATAAAATAGTCTGCGTTTTGTCTCAAAATGTCTCAAAGACATTTGGCTCATTCCGAGGACATGACTAGAAGTCTTAGTCGTTTTATCCCGGCAGACCCGCTTTCTGCGAAGGGGGCTCCCCGTCACAGCGCCCAGTTCTGCCTGCCTGTGTGACACATTTGCCATAAACTCCTGGCTGTCACAGGCCACAGCTTGTCCCCACTTGGCCTTTGGACAGGGAGCTCACTTTCCTGTATGCTCTGTGTCCGGACCCTTGCGTGGCTCCCCTCAGGCTGCAGGTCTCAGTGCAAACCCGACCGCCCTGACAGCCACCTGAGTGTGCTGCTGAGGCCGTGGCCCGTTCCTCCACCAGGCTCTGTCCGTGTGTCACCCTGCTTCCTTTGTCCAGGTGCTTGGCTCTCTCCGAGAGCACCTGGTTTCCTTACCTGTTCATTGCTCTATTATCAGTCCCTCTGTGGAGCATTTGTACCAGGAGGACAGGGTCATGGTTGAGTTCACCGCTGCACCCAAAGTGCATCAGTATCGGCCCATTGCAGGCCTTTAGTGACTCTCAGTCATGACAATGAGTGGTTCCATCAGTAGGTACCCATCCTAGCAGTCTTTGAAGTGAGCAGGGTCTTAGTCACACACACACGCACCTAGACGCACACACGCACGCATCGATGAGATGGACTTTTTTTTGCTCGCTGCCCATTTTTGACAGGGTAGTTCCATATGATGTCTCGTATGAAATAGAAACACAGATGCTTTAGGAGCATCATTGTTGAATTTTATGTATTCCCATAAAAATCACTCTATTATGTATTTTTACTACTTTGTATTTTTGTTCCTGTCCAACTGGTAGCTACTCCGTTACCTCCATCACCCTATTTTCATTACTCAGAGACTGATAGGCTGAATTTAGGTCTGTTCAGCTTGATTAATGGGCAATGAAGAAAACTTGAAGATTCAGGAATCATTTCGCCACAATCACATAATTCAATAAACAGTAATCGCCTGGAGGACTGTCCTTGTTCATTTGTTAAAGTGCCTGTACATTTTTTTCTTAAGATGAAACACTTTAATATCCAGCGATCACTTTGGGGCAGATTCTGTGTTTATTGTTTTATGACTTACTGCATAAATATGCTCCCTCTTCCTGCTGCCCCTTCGGCCCCAAGCCTCCAGTGTCTGAGTCTAGGGGAGGGCAGAGGCACCTCAGGGGCCGTGGGCTCCTGCACTCTGGGGCCCCGGGTCCCCCGTTGCTCATTTGCTGCATCTTGAGAATTGAGCTCAGCCATGGAAACCTGAACAAGAGTTTGGTCTTCCGGGGGGAGGGTGTGCTGGGGTGTATTGCCCTGAGAAGTATATGCCTGAGACGGCTGTTACAGTTTCTTCTCTGCTTGCCTCTCCCCTGGGAGCTTCTGCCCTTCTGCCCAGGGACTTACTCTGGGTGACGTGTGCTTTCCTAGGGGGGCATTCCGCTGGACGGCAGCGCGCTGGAGATCTTGGAGCGCCGCCTGCGCGTGGGCGTGCACAACGGTCTGGGCTTCGTGCAGAGGCCGCAGGTGATGGTGCTGGTGCCCGAGATGGACGTGGCCTTGACGCGCTCTGCCAGTTTCAACAGGAAAGTTGGCTCCTCCTCGAAGGCCAGGTACTCTCCCCAGGGTGTGAGGTGCGGCCCCGTGGAACTGGGAGGTACGAGGGTGCACGTAACCGGGATCAAAGCGAAGTGGAGCTGTTTTTGCATGTGAAGTGTACACTTGTCTGCCCGGGCTTTTTCCCTGGTACCTTTGTTTCCTCTTGCTGGCTTATACCCGTTAGGAGCAGACCTCAGTGTTGTCTGGTTGGAAGAATCCTGGTTTGTGCTGTGACGGTTCTGGAGTTAGCATGACAGGCGCCTCCAGCTGTGGCTGCTTCGGGTCTGAGGGGACCCTGGCATGCTTTCCTCCCACTGGGCCTGCGGTCAGCGTCTCGTACGGTGGAGAACCAGCAGGCAGGAAGTCCCTATTCCCAAGTCAGAATCAGAGACCTCTCCGAGGGGTGCCACGTGCGAGGCTGGGCAGAGGCTGGCCCTGGGGGATGAGCCTCCCTGGAGACCTGGCCGTATTGTCTGTCCTCCTGACATAAGCTCTGGCGATTTGGAACGAGTGTTGATTGAGGCACCTAGAAGGGCTCGGGTTTGGGAGCTCCCTTGGGGGCCAGACACACAGCAGAGCTCAGCGGCATCGCTGGGGGCACTTGCTGGCACTGCCTGACCCGCCACTGCTCTGTGTTCTTGACCCAGCTCTGGGAACCAGGCTCTGGTTCTGAGAAGCCGCCTCCGCCTCCCTGAGACGGCCCGTCACCCTGCGTTTGCCGCCGTCTTTCAGCTGGAGTATGTGTTCAACGGCCCTTCCGGACTGGACGGCAAGGTGAGCAGGGCCCGGGCCTCCGTGCCCTGAGGGTAAACAGAGTCGCCACCGATGTTGTTCCTGTTAAAGCAGTGTAGTTACTGATCATCAGCAGTGTGGATAACAGGGGTAGCGCGGGATTATAGAAATCGCTTCTTCCCAGTGATAGCTTTGTTAGTCATTTCCCGTCTGTATGGTAATAGAATGTTCTGCCGGTGGTGGTAATCAGTAGTTCAACGGGCATGCACAATAGCCTTACTTCACAAATATCAAATCGATAATTATTTTGAAAAATGGGTCTACTCTAATGTATTTTTCATATGCTATTAAGTACAGTAAAGCTTGAATCTGCACAAGTGATAAATGTTTTCTCACAGTGAACTTTGTGTGTCTGTATCATAACTAAGTAAGTGTCCCTAAGGTTCAGTTGGAAGAAATACAGTTGACCCGTGAGCAGCACAGGTTTGAACTGTGTGGGTCCACTTACAACCAAAAAAGATTTTTTTTGTAAATACAGTTCTTTAAGTATATTTTTTTCCTTATGATTTTCTTAATGACATTTTATTTCCTCTGGCTGACTTTTTTTTTTTTTTTT